GCGCGAGTTATAGGGGAGAATCAAACAATGGAGTGGGCTATGCGATTGAGAGTTGCACTTTATGTAGCTCAAGCTTTAGAATATTGCAGGGAAAGTGGGTACGAATTGTACCATGATCTCAATGCTTGTCGAGTTCTCTTTGACGAGGTAGGTAACTCTATTGAGAAAATGGCTAAGGTTATTATTATTCTTTTTTTGTAAAATCGTTCATTTTTGTCACACAGAATGGTGATCCTCGGCTTTCATGTTTTGGATGGATAAAAGATAGCAAGGATGGCAAAAACTTCAGCACGAATCTTGCTTATACACCACCTGAATATCTTACAAGTGGTAACGTTTTGTGTTCTAGTACTACTTTGGTTCATTGCAAGAATTTGGCACCTTTTTGTGGCAAGTGATGTATATATATTTTGTAGGTGCTTTCCTTCCAGAGAGTGTTGTCTTCAGCTTTGGGACGTTTCTTTTGGATCTTCTAAGTGGGAAACATGTCCCTCCGAGTCATGTGAGTTACTTACTTTTCATTCTTCTTCGAATGTTCTTATTAAACCAAATGACATGTTCTTTTGCTCTCTGAACTCAGGCAGTTGATACAATTCAAAAGCAAAAGTTACATGTCTTTATGGATTCACACCTAGAAGGAAACTATCCAGAGGAAGAAGCGGCCACGGTATTTGATTTGGCTTCCAAATGCCTCCAAAATAACCCTAAGGACCGGCCAAAAATTAGCGATACGATTGCAATACTTGCAACACTTCAACACAAACTAGATGTTCCGTCCTATACTATGCTTGGAATTTCAAAGCTCGAAAACCATGGAACGGAAAACCATAGTTCTCTAATTTATGATGCATGTTACCGAATGGACCTCTCAGCTCTTCATCGAATTCTTGAAGCAACAGATTACAAAGACGACGAGGTTACTTGTGAGCTCTCCTTCCAGCAATGGTCCCAACAAATTAAAGATGTGTGGTACACCAGACAGCAAGGCGATTCAGCTTTTCGGAACACAGATTTCCAATCTGCTATAGAAAAATATACTCAGGTATGGCCAAAATATAAACACTAAAGCTCAGCTGAATTTTAATCACATTCTATTTATAAAGTCTCGATTCGCAGTTCATAGAAACAGGGATCATGATCTCTCCCACTGTCTATGCACGAAGAAGCATGTGCCATCTCTTCTGCGACCAGCCAGATGCAGCACTACGAGATGCAATGCAAGCACAATGCGTTTATCCTGACTGGCCCACCGCCTTTTACCTTCAGGCCGTGGCTCTCGCAAAGCTGAATATGGTTGAAGACTCAGCTACCATGCTAAAAGAAGCCTCTATCATGGAAGACAAGAGAGGCTCATAAAGTGAACTTAGATCGCAAAGTATATTGATTGAAAAAGAAAAGAAATATGCTTGTATAGTGAAGAATAGACAAAAAGAGATATATGAACACAAATATGAAACTGAGAAACCAAGTTCATTTAGCAAAAATATTGATTTCCACCGGGGAAACCAGCAACAACTTGGCCATTATTTTACCAAGTTACCATCACTTCTAAGTTCATACTGATCTGATTTCAAATGATTAAGAATTTTGACCATCATGCAAAACTGGCAACTTAAATGACTTTCATTTGAGGAGAATATATATATATATTTTTTCCGTGAATATCTGAAAGCAAATGCTGCTGATATGTTTAGCTCGGTTATGTTTTGCTTATATTTTAGAAGCTCAGGTTTGTTTTGGTTATATTTTAAATAACGTTAATGAATTATCGATAATTTGAACCCAAACTGTATTTGCTTGATCTTACGAATCAAATGCTTTGTGCATGATGTAAATGCCGTAGTACTTGTTGAATCCTACCAGAGAAACTATCCACATAGAAGAAATTTTAAGAATCTAAACTACGACTAAAAAGTATAAAAAGAGTAAATAACAAAATAAATCTAAGTCAACAGAGAAGCAAAGTAAAGCCTTTATAGAAACATAACACAACTTGTGCAAATTCCATGGAGAAGGTTTCCTTGAAACATTATTGGAAATCACAAAACAACATAATTGAAAGAGAGAAGGAATTCTTTATTAGTCCCCATGCTTGTGAGAGATTTTGTAACCTGCATTAAGAAGAAGATTTCAAGATTGTCATATCAATTTTGATGATTTCCTTTTCCATGTATACATAACGCAAATGCTGAAAACAAGTTTTCTTTACCATTAGACTTAAAAATGTCACTACCATTACAAAATTACCCCTTACAATTTCAAAATCAGAGCATGAATTTGGATTGCAGGAGGTAAGTAATGATGAATAATTTCTAACATTTGTTGCTACGTTTCAACAGGATAATTAGAAAGCACATGAGTCGTCATAAATCTCGCATGAGAAACCAACATAAGAGATCGCGAAGAACAAGAGAAGAAATCACTGAATCCGAACCCGAATCCGAATCCTAACGAGAGCAGAGAGAAAGGGAGAGGGAGAAATTGACCTAATTGGAAGATTTAGACTCTTTGGAAAAGTCCGGCGGCGAGTAGATGAGAGAAGCGACCATGGTTCCCGGAAAAACAACGTATTTGGCGAACGCAGACAACTTAGAGACTAACGCCTCTCCTCGCATGAATGACATGTTCGATCTTTCTCCGATGCAAATCTGACGACCCAGCCGGTGAATCAATGACCAAGACGATCCCGATGGAAGCTTTTGTTTTGACTCGGCTCTCTCTTAGTTGGGCCGGTTACTGGCCCACCACTATTCTCCAATGGATAAGTAAGTGTTCCACTGCATAATGGGCTTTAATCGAACTATCCAATTTCCAAACCGAACTGAACCGAAACTTTTTTCCGGTTACTTTCGATAGAATTGTTACTAATCCGTATTACCCGATGATCCGAACTACCTGAACTCGAAATCGCAGGCCTACTCAAAGATCGACTAGCTCATGTTTGGACTAGTTCTTCTCTTGTTTAACCCATGTTTG